CATGTTTTGTTAAAATATTTCTTTGATTTAAATACTAATCTCTTATGAAGTATTTCATTATTCTCATTTAAAAAAAACACGCTGCACAATGCTTTGTCTTACTTAAAGTGTCGGGCATAATGTGAACCACAAACAGATTAATCTAAATCGATAGAATCAAGATGTGAACTTTGTGTTTTGATTTGTGCAATGTAAATAATTTTGAATATTTAGAAAAAAATTGAATCTTTATTTTCGTAAAAATGGTAACACTTGTTTACATACTTTGTCAACACGTGCTGTAAACACGATTTAAAGCGACAATGAAAGATGTATATATAAAATGGCATAACAATATATTTTATCATTTTCTTTTAGTCGCAATTAGAAAATCAATTTCGAGATATATGCGCAATCACAACGCAATAATTAAACTAAACGTCTGATAATCAACTGCAAAGAAATATTAATCATTTTCCATTAATAGATATTAATTAAAATAGATATTAATGATCTATTTTATAAAGACAGTCGAGTTATCGATATAATTTAATTATTCATTTTAATTAACGAAATAGATAGAAATATAAATAGATATATTTGTGTATCAATTGATTATTAATTATTTTATTTTGTTTTTATTTATTATTATTCTTTTATTTAAAAATATATTTTATAAAGATTAATTTTTAACGTTTTTTTTTCTTTTCTTTTCTCTCTTTCTTTTTTACTAATGATATTCTAAATAAATTTCACAATATCTATATTGTCGAAGATAACAAATGTTTTCATGCTCGTTTTGCGATTAAAATTATGCAAATAAAGGAGGATAGAGAAAGAGAAAAAGTGAATAGCGCAAGAAAGAATGAACGCAAATATTACGTAGGTGGTATCGGTGAATCCTGGTATAATAAGACGAGTATCTTTAAAAATATAATCGATACAAGGCGGCAAATAATAGACATCAAAGCCTTTCTCAAACCCACTTTACATATACTTCGTTATCTCTTTTCTATCTTCAATGAATTGAATACAAGTGGGTGTGAACCGAAATCTCGGACTGAATCATCGTTTAACGGTGTTTTTGTTTCGAATAAAAATTGTTTCGCTTGATAAAACTCTATCTTTATCGTTTTTTATTCGATCAATACAAATCGTACGTAATTTTAAAACAATTTTCAAAATGATTAAAAATTATTATTTTTCAATCGTAGTCATACTTCAACTCTTCGCGAGAAAAATTTATATTAATTTTTCAATGATAATCTAATTTAATGATTAATTTTAAAAAGCAGAAAATTTTTTATTCACTTTAAAAAAAAATAAAAATTTGCAAGAATAAAGATTACATTATGATTAAAAGTAATTTTAAAGAAAGATAATTGTACGTTGCGCGGGTTAAACGAGGCAGAAAACATAAGACCTCCGCCTTTCATCGAGAAAGTCCGGAAGGGAACCACTAAATGGAGCTAATCGACCGTAGTTGAACTTTTATCTGTTTAAAATCACCTTCATTAGTGGCAGGCCTATTATTAGAAGTCTGTAAGAAATCTCGATAAGAAAAACACCGGATTTAGCAATCTGGCGTCACGTTTACGTCCGTTTGATCGTAACGATCAACGGTATATGTATATAGGGTGTCCAACGAATACAGACACGTACGCTGCATCGTTAAAACGTGTAACGAGCCAATAAAATGAACACGTGAACAATGTTTTATGATTTTCATCCAATTAGGTCGTAAAAAAACGCGTTTTATCCACGTCATCTTGTCAGAAATATTCTATATATATATATACGTACATATCGTTTTTTTTTTTTTTTTTTTATAGCTCTATAAAAACACGTCGTGAAACAAAATGAAAAGAGACAAGATCGATAAAAATTGCGCATTTTTTCATGTAAATACAAGTAGTGAGTCAAACTGTTAGTCAAACTGTTATCGATCGCATTATTGAATATTGAATCAATATTATTGGTCAAAGAAGGCGCGAAAGGGTAAGAATATCGATGACAATCGTGCAATAAGAGACGTGTCGGTAATGTTACCGACAGATCAAGCGCAAAAAACAAAGTTTCCCTTGTGTATACTATGCAAATAATTATTATTGCGCGATCACATAAGAATTCGATGATTCTATGAGAAAAAATAAATTAAAACAAATTAATTATTCCAATATAAGTGATTGTTAAAGTTTGTTATATTAACATTTTTTGTACATTATTCTCTTTGCTATTACTTTTTTTTTTTATTCTACTCTCATAATAACCTATAAAAGATAATGTATCTCGTGCAAATTTATGTTATGCGTAATATTATACTTGATCGAATATCTATTTTATATTTTGCAGCAAAGCACATAGATAATAGAGCAATAACCGAGACGAAAAAACCTGTTTCTCGAACGACATCCAGAATTAATTTAAAATCTGGTATACATGACGTTATTGCTTCATATAATTTTATGATTTTATAAATAATAAAATGATTATCTTTCTAATAAGCTTAAAATTGAGCGGTAAATTTGAAAATTTTTCTAATAATCTATTAATTTTAACGTGACATTTTATTTGTCATCTTTTTATTAACATAAACAATGCGATAACAAAATAATGAAATTGATAAAAATATAAATTTACAATATACTTATATATAAGATGTAACATCGGTAAATATTTTTTTAATAATTAAAATTAAAGTTGGAAGATAAATGATTCTCTGAGTCTGAGTTTGTATATTTGAATAAAAGCAATTTATTGAATATTAATTTTTTTAAAGAATATAAATATTACGTTGAATTCTTTAAAGATTACTTTGAATGAAAAAAAAAAAAAATAAAAATAAAAAATTTGCAATCTTACGTGTAGTTATTGCATCACATTTTAACTAGTTTCATTACTCACTATGTACATATAATTGTATCATACTTTTTAAAATTATAATCATGAAAGGAAATTCCAAGAATTTGATTTAATATTTTTTTCTTCTTCTATCGAATAGATTTAACTTCACAAACGAGGCTTGTTGATTTCAAATGAAAACCTGACTGTTATAATAATATAATAATATCAAAATCAATGACGAATATTTGTTATGAATAGAAACAGCGACAGTAATAAGAAATAATAAAAATTCAATCAATATTGACGTACGAGAGAAAATATATTGAAAATTAAAATTCTATTTCAAGAGATTAAAAAAAATTAAATTGTAAAAAAATGTGATAGTTTACATAATACTGGTGAACGTGATCAATTTATTTCTATGACGCAAAGCACACAAGATTATATGATCTCACTACGAAATTACGAAAGTTCCAAACTGTTTGCAATGGTGCTAAATTGTCGCGTCATGCGAATGCAGTTTCATTAAAAATGGCGGACACGTACGGATGACAAAATGTATAATCGATCATAGGTGTGGTTCGTCAACGATTACGTCGGAAATACAAAAGAATTCATCATTTGATCGAACGGAAACAAGTTTCGAAAAAAAAATATTCAATGACACTCGAATCATCAATCTTCGTTCGATTATATTTTATAAATATAAGGATATTAATTATATCTGCAGAATATTTACAATGAAAAACTGATATCTCCAATTGTAAGTTCATTTATTGTAATTTTGATCATCTATTTTATATTTGTTTCTTTTTTCGCATTCCACGTATATGAAAAAATACTATGCATGATATTAATTCACGAGTTATATTTTATTTACACATAACAAATAAATAATCGAGAAATTGCAATGAATGCACACGATGTAATAATATGAAAAATTTTCTGCGAATAATATGAAAATTATCACCGCTTACGTGTAAATGAAAAAGCTGAAAATTCATACTCTTCACAACATATTTCAAGATCATTAAAATCGACAAGGAAGCTTAATTTAAATTTTTCTAATTTCAAAAAATAGAAAATTAGTAGAATAATCTGAATTTTTCATGTACCGAATTATTTAATAATTTAAAGTAATCATGCTAAATTGAATTTAATTTAATGTTATGATCTATACGGGAACAATGTCAAAAATTCCTTATACAGCGTTCGAAAGATGTGTCAGAATATATTCGTGAAATGATACTTATGAGCGATACATGCGTCTCGCTCACGTACTTAGTAGACGAGCTAAGAAGCGGACGCCAGTCTGTCTCGGACAGGAATGGGATTAGAAAGCACGTCAAGTCTCCGTGGGTCACGTCACCCAGATCGAGATTTAGTTCGTGCCTCGCGTATTGTGTCGATATACAGCACTCTCCAAAGGGTGATTCCACGACGATTTTTCCTTCTCGGAAAAATTGATCATCTCAAGATAATTCTATATTCGAAAAAACTCGTACACAGATTCTACACGGCTCTACGATCTTTTCAAAGCAAAGTCTCAAACATTTAACATATTTTATATTCAAAGAAGAAAACGTGAATACGCGAATATGTTCCACTTTTAAATTACAATAATTTTAAATTTATCTGGTTAATTATTATTTACATAATAGGCGTGATAATAATTCAAACGACCTAAAAAAAAAAAAAAAAAACTGTGGTGGTTATGCATTGCAAATTATTATTGCGATCGATAAAAACGTCAAAGCGTAAAAACCGACTCACTTTACGACTTCATTTATTCAATGATATGATTAATGATCATTATTGCGAAATAATAGTAATAAATTTCTAATAAGAAATATATATATATATATATATATATATATACACAACTGAATTTTGAAACGAACTCTAGTGGCCGAGAACGAGGGTGTTCCGGCGCTCGTTGTACGTACAACGAATAATCGGCGTGAATTCTGTAAAAGTCGCGTCAGATCGGTTGGTTACACAAGAAATGTAATGTTGTATAGGTACATGCGGCGAGAGGGTTAAAGGTCGAGCTGAAACGAAGAGAGAGAGAGAGAGAGAGAGAGAGAGAGAGAGAGAGAGAGAGAGAGAAGGGGGGGAAATCCGCGCACACAGACAGGCACGAATGTGCATGAGGGCACACCCACTTTAATACGTACCGGAATGCATTCGCATTTGATGCAGTACATGACTCCAAAGGGCGGGCCCAAATCCGCGAACCAGGTGGAGCCCAGTTCCCGTATCTGCTTGCCGAACGTACATTCTGCAACAAAGAGGGATTTGAATTGACTTGGTGAATTTGTGACTCTTTTCTTTCTTTTTTTTTTTTTTTTTTTTGCATTATTTTTACANGTATATGTATATAACCGAGCAAAAATTCTTTAAACTGAAATATTTAAAAGAGAATGGAAAATGAAAATTAGAAGGGAATAGAGAAATAGTTTAAATGAAAGAAGATTTAGAAGCAAACGTAGACTTCTTTTTTCGATTAATTTGGTAAAATTAATTGTTCAAGTTCAATTCGAAGAGGTTATTGTTATTTATTTTGTTCGGTTTTTTTTTTTTAATTATTTAGAAATATATTAACTAAAAGATGATAAAAAAAAAAAGGGAGCGTTAAATTCCAGATTTAAGTTTTTGTAGAAATAATCATGTTTCGTTGGATCTATATGTAATATAACTACATAATATACATAATCATTTCTAGAATGGAATAAAAGTGAAATCGTGGGATGAATGGAGGATTCTTTCCGGCTGGGACACGCTAATCGACAACCTCTGAATCATCAACATGCCCGAAGAGTAAAACGTCTCTGGTCGCCGCTTAAAAAACACCGAGACGACGATGAGACAGTGTATAAAAGAAGAAAGCGACAACGTCAGAGAGAAAGAGGGAAGAGAAAGTGGCAGAAAGCGATTTGGAAGAAGGAAAAAAGAGTGTGCATCATTCTTGCAAGGCCGTTGCCTCGTTTAACAGTGATGGCGATTCACCTTCTTCCACCGAAATAAAAAAAAAAAAAAAANAAAAAAAAAAAAAAAGAAAATAGAAATAAAGAAGAGAAAAAAACCGGCTGGCTAATGCCGGTGTATGACTGCTAACCGTTACGATGAAACATCCTTTCTTTCTTTTTTTTTTTTTTTTACAACGTAAAAATAAATATTCATACCGAAAATAGCGTGAACTCTTTCTGTCGGATTACGTGACTTATTATCTTTTCTAAGAAACTACTTTCACCCCCTCCACCAGTATGTATTAAGTGCCCGGTAACAGAGGATTCATATATTCGTACATTGACATATAGAAATTTCTCGAGGAATGATTTTAAGAATAAAATAGTTGTCAATAATATTAGCAATAAAATTAATAATTCTGCTGCTATGGAAGTTAGTAATGATCTTTTTTAAAAAAAAACATATATAAATTGCTAAATTATATGCTTGGATTATAATCTGGCATTAAATATCGAATGGCGTACAACTGTACTTCAGTATTTTTATTATAAATTCTTTCTAAATATAAATATAAGTACATTAAATAAAAGAATAAATAAATTACATCATATTACAACTTAAATTTATAGTTGATTTAAAATTGGTATATATATATATATATTGATTATACATATTATGAGCAAATCTTGCGACTTTCTATCTTTATTTCTTGCACAAAGGAAACCTTGTTCAGATCTGGGTTTATTAAATTCAGATTCTCTATTCCTTTCAATTGAAAAAAAAAAAAACATTTCTTCACATATTGATATATGATAAATATAAAAAAGCAAAATTATATGAAAATTCAAAAATTTATTTTTGAAATTATAATAAAAAAACGAGAATAATGATTTCAATTGATATACAAGAATGCACCAAGAGTAAAATATAACAGATCATACGCTGATCAACGGTTAAGAATTTCTAAACATTATCAACGAAGCTATTAGCCGAGTCCCGATGTAAATCACATTTGAACCTATTCAGAACACACCAATACGATGAGAAAAGCGTCGCGACGCTTCATGTTGTAAGAATAAATGAGAGAACGAGAGAGACCGATATCTCTTTAGGCTTGCCCAGTCATTCCCTTTGCTTCAGATGTGCACGCGTTTGAAAGAGAAAGAGAGGAAGGAAGATACACAGTAAGACTCGTTGCGCGAGGTCGTTGCACTGTGTGTACTAAGTCGTTCTAAGCGCAGAGTCGGTCCTAAGCAACCAGGCGAGCTCGAGAGAAGAGCCTCGATACGCCACCGCATCGCAAATATGCGAGTCGAATGCTACGTTGTCGCATCGTCTCGCGCCCTTTATTCATATGTGTTCATACAAACGAAAGCAATTTAATATTTATACCATCAGTTCACGTTTGGCAACGACAGGTGACAGACATTGTAAGAATAATATTTCTTCCGTATAGTGATCACACGTCTCTCGCTTAGTAAAATTTTCCCTGAATTAAATATACATAATACGAAAGTTTCTGCTCGACCACATTCAGACAACTTCAGTCACGTATCGTAAAAGTCTACGAGAATGTCAGTTGTCACGTGTCCGAAACGTAACGTTTGAATCAATCGTAATGCTGTGTATAGACATTCATATTTGATAATATATAATATTTGTCCGAATCATTTCCATAATGTTTTGAATTTGAATGAATATAAAATTGATGTTAAAGATCAATTTACATCTCAACAAGTCTCCGTCGAGTTCGAATTGAAAATTATTATAGTAATGTTTATATATATATATATATATATATATACACAAGTGGTTTTGTTAGGTTAGGTTAGCTTCGGATCTTATCGCTATTCTTTCATCAATTCACTCACCTTTGAATATATTAAACGTTAGAAGAGAAGATATCAAATGTTAAGGCCAAGGTTAAAGTCGTCTTTTTAATTTTTATCGTAGTATCACATTGTAATTTATAGAAATAGACACACATCGAGGAGGACGTGAAAATTGGAAAGAAGCTTCAAGGTAAAACTATTGAAATATTGCGCATGCGCTTATACCAATCTCACATTCTCCTAATAGATTTCTTTTCTTTTTCGACTCTGGCTTGTTTTCTCGAAATCCATAAAATATATTGCACGAAATAATATCAATAGAAAGCTCAATAATCTTTATTATTGTTATAATAATTATTTTTACAGAAATCCGAAACTATCTCGTTTGTTTCCAATCCCGATAAAAATAAGATTTAATGGAGATGCATAGATACATTAATTTGGCTGAACTTACAAATTTACCATTTAATTTCAAATTCACGTAATGTGATGACGTTAGGGCGAGAGTCATAGGCGTCGAATCTTGCTAAACGTTTAATCTATTATTATAAGGATGAGAATAGGACACTGTATGGCAGAGTGGACGACACAGTGCATAGAACATCGGTGCTAATTTGGTCCATATACCAACGTTTCATACACCGTTAACTCTGCTAACCTATCTTATGAAATCTTGTACATTTTATCTCAATGTTAGATCAACAGCCAATATTTCGGAAATGCCAAACGCGTTGAACCAGAAATTCAATAACCCGATTCATGATGGCGTTTCCAGCTTTTTCCTTGTAAGTAGAGCTTTTGTGCTATTATCTCTATTCGTGCTTGACACGTAACAAAATTAAGAATGCTAGCGGAGAACTGAGAGAGCGTTCATGCGAATTACTCGGGCATTTGCATAAATGGATTAGCATAAATTAAGCCGAATGGAAAAGCGTCGAGGCTGCGTCCGTAAATTGGTCGCAATTTGCATAAACGGAGAGAAGGCATCTCGCGTAATGCGTTCTTTCCTTCATCGGTTCGCAGAAAGATCATACGAAACACGACGAAAGTTGACAACAAGTTAAAAAAAAAAAAAAAAAAAAAANAAAAAAAAAAAAAAAACGAGAAGGCACTCGAACAGTGTACATACTGTTACGACGACAACCAGGGCCAATCCTGAAAGCGACGACGTAATACAGCGTTTGGGCAAGACACGTAACGACGACAGGCGTCCTCAAACGAGTGTCAGCCGTTTCAAGCATCGCAAAAACAAGAGAAGACGATCGCTGGCGACACCTCTAACCGATGTCGTGTTTAAGATATGAAGCTCGTGTAAATTCACTTCCACTTCAATGAAGGGGGCACAAACGGTTGCTATCGTTCTTTAATATAAATATTGACTTAGGGATAAGGCGAGGATACACAGAAAACATTTGTTATATTATTATCGCAGCGAGTTAAAATTTTCGATTAACTCTCGATGCGATCTTCAAATTTTGATATACTTTTGAGTTTTTCTCTTTAGAGTTCAATAGATAAATAAATCTTTTATAAGAAAAATTATATACGATTAAATTAAATTATTAATATTTACAGTAATCTTATATATTATAAACACGAACGCGTCGGAGAAAAATTAAAATTTAAAGCTCACGAGCATCACTCACATGGACGATTCATTCCTTCTACGTTTAACTTTCCGCGAATCTCATCGAGAATTCTAGGAACACGGTTTCAGCCACTATTCTAAGCAACGTAGGTCGGTCTAGGATAACGCTGAATACGTGGCGCTTCTAAGCCGGGATGAGTTCGATGAACCGCGATGAATCCTCACCAGGGTTCGTTTAGGAAAAGTACGACAGAATAGACCACTGTTAATCCTAAAATATCCAAGCCGTCGGCGTTGACTAGTCAGTCCGGATGTCAGAGAATCGGACACGTTAACTCATCTTGCTTTTGATCCCATAAACTGTTTCTACACGCAAAACGTTAAAACGTCCGACTGATAACTATCTTAAACACATTGTGAAAAGGCTGTTTTAAATTCTCTACGAGAACGTTTATTTTAAAGAATAATTCTTTATTCCCACTGTTATTAAATAAAATGAAAAATAATACAAATTAGAATTAAGGTTAGAATTAAGGTTAGAATTAGAATTAAGAAAGTTATAGAAAATTTTGCAACGACATACATATTATGTTGAATATCTAAATTCATAATTCATGCCATTCACTTCGATTGTTTTTATCCATTAATTGCAAAATTATTCATAAATGCATATATATGTGTGTTTAACACATTTATATAAATCATGGTTATATTTCAATCATCATGTCTGTTTCTATGTAGCATCGTCCTCTAGGTAGATTCTGCAGTATCAGTGTCACGCGTTTTCGCACACTAAAATAAATAAGATTCTCCACGAGTAACGGATTAAAAAGAAAAAANAAAAAAAAAAAAAAAAAAAAAAAGATTACGGAAAAGACACGACGACGCGAT